GTAATTGTATTGGAATACAAGAGTTTTTTCTTTTGGAAATCTGAATAGAAAGGGTACATGTTGTGTTCAAATACAAGGTGTACGTTTTCTACTCGAGGAAATCTGCTATTCGAGAAGAGTGTACCCGCACCGTTTCAATTTTCGGAAAAGGCTTAAGGACCGCGGCCTCCTCGGCCTCCTACGGGGAGCTACCGGTCCTTCGCGTTCCTGGCCCTTGAAAGCCCCAAAACCTCAAAATGCCCACCCTCCCGACTACCACCGACGTTGAAATCTGAGTGACGTTGAAAATCTCAGGGGGGGGAAACGCAACCCTGACGGGCAACGAACTTAAATGAGCCCTGAATAATGAATGAACCTGGCGCACAACCACGTCCAGGTTCATTCTCCTGATCTTTCGTCATATGGCTTTGTGTGAATGTGTGTGCTTGAATTGTCTTTCGATCTTTGTACTAACATGTGGTTGGCCAGCAACCACAATCAAGTTTTCGTTCCGAAAACCGGCAGGGAGCATCCGATCTGCCAACAGGCTGCAATCAGACAAAGGGGCTCCCCACCTGCCAGCCCACATTGGATCTCTGGCCCTCCACGTTCGCGGGTCTATTACAGATCTGAACTTCCTTTATCACTCATGTGTCGCCCGTTCCTGTGCATGAATGTAGCCTAAAGATATGTCCAGCTCCATGCACTTTCATCCTCCGAACGTGTGCTGTCTCAGCTCTGCTCCACAAGTGTGTGGCCAAACCCCCGCAGCAAGCATCAGACTCTCTCTTTATTATCTCTGCGCCGCTGCTCTCACGAGTAGTGTGTATGTTGTCCAGTTGGCTACACCTCTGCGTACCGCAGCTGAGTGACGAAAACGGCGCTCATCATCATCTAAACATGGGAAGATACGACACTTTAACCTTCGTGAGCCGCTCGTCATCGACGCTTCAGGTGAAGGGGTAAATTATGAATGAATCTTCAGCTAGAGCATGGAAAAGTACACCGTCACATTCTTTCTGGGCTCCTTAGTATTAGACTCACTCAATTGCTCATCGGAAGAGGGTGAACCTCCAGCAAGTTCATGGATAGATACATTGCCATGCCTTGTCTTGCAGTGCACCGTATGTAATCTGAACTGGGATTTCTCCCTCCTCTCCTGCGCAAACTGTTCTCCTGTCCTTACTGTAGCTTTCCCATCCATGGAGAATAGATCCTTCAAGGGACGGGCCAAACTCCAGTGCGCTGCGCAGATCTCCCGCGCTTTGATTAATCCTGCACGCTGAGCACCCCCGCACGTTCATCTGCCTGCATCTGCCTCCTGCGCTGGTCTAGCTCGTGCGGGTGAGTGCGAGCTTGCCTGGCTTTCAGATTGGCTGCGTTCAAAGGCCCATGCTTGATTAGCGCTCTCTTGAAAAGGAAGGAAAATTCCCTTTCCGTGCGTCTAATCAGTCCTGTTGATGTATTAATTCTCTTCCCTCGCCCATAGATTGAGTCTCTACCGTGTACCCTGCTTGATTGAAAGTTGATTGGAAGGTACATCCCGTATCTTCCATTAATGCCGTGCGCGTGAACATAACCAGGATTTCGACTGGGTTCGTGCATCTAAAAGTGAGCACACACACACATGCGCCCTTGTGCATTGACCACGCACAGCTGCGTCTATCTGCGTGCGTAAACTTCCATGCGCTTTCCTACACTAGCGCACTCTCTCT